GATGTTCTGGATAGCCCGAGCAAACTGTGGGAGATCATTCCCTCCGTCCAGGATGTTACGCTGGACCTGGCGGGTGTGACCCTGAGCGTTGCTCGTCGGGTTACACGCACATGGCGCAGCATGCTGTGCCGAGCGCGCCAGCGCAGGTGGCGGCTGACTCTGCCGCCTTTGTCGTAACTCCTTACCGTGCTCCTGCACACGCGCGAGGGCCTTCGCAAGAGGGTCCATAGAGGTGTGAGTCTGCAGAGATTCCGCTACCACCGGTGGCTATCCTGGGGCGTCCGCCATAGCGCACTCCCGGGACAAAGGGTGGCCAGGTGCCACAACGTCGCCGATGCTGGAACAATCGCTTTTGACCTCGTCATCTATGAGGTCATGAAAGGAGGCGGGAGCGTAGCTCGCCATCCCCACAAATTTGGATGTGAGATGGGGCGGCGTTAGCATCCTTCAGAGTCCCCTCGTGTACGCGTCCCCAGGGGATGTGAAGCCATAGGGGAACCGGTCGCACGGCGGTCGTAGTGGGGACAACAGGGTCCCTCCGGAGAGTCGACGGAAGGTGTTAAACAATGAGTAAAGAACAACATATATGTTACTCATCATGTAGTTTGAGCCCAGCATGGGCTCGAGGTGAAGCACGAGGGTTTTGACGTTGAGGTCATCGGGTGGCCCAGGGCCGATGGAGGGCGCTCCTCCTCCGATGGACGCCGGGACGAGCGCCTCCTCACGGAGGCAGAGTATGCCAAGCCAGTCAGCGACGAAGTCTAGACTCTCGAAGAGGAAGGTCTGGAGTGGCACGAAGATGGGAGGAACCCACATCCCTATAGGTGGGAGCGTGGAGAACTCTAGCGAGCTAAAGCGAATCGTATCGCTTAAGCCTGCCATGATGAAGATGGTGGAAATGTGGGCCATCCAATGACCAAAAGCGTGAATGCACGGCATCCTCCTCACGGATGGCGCCAACTATCGGTGTGAAAAGTGACCAACAAGTAAATATTTATAGTTTTGCCGTGCGTTGTGATCAGATGTGGCCTAGCACTCAATGACACAGGATTTATACTAGTTCAAGCAACGTGCCCTACGTCTAGTTCTAGTCGGTCGGTGACTTTATTCCTGAGCCCAGGTGCTCGAAGTTTGCTGTGGGGTTACAAACGAGTAGGAATAAGAAGGGGGTGTTAAAGGCCCGGTCGGACTCTGAACCAAAGGGCCGAGAGTAACGGGGGCTCTAACGTGCGCTATGTATTGGAGCGTATGCTCTATGTAGCTTTAGAGTTCTAGAGCTATTGAGCTATTCGAGTTCTTAGGTCCTCGAGTGCTCGAATCATCTAGCTTCTCTTTTTTTAAGAGAGCCAAAGAGCGAGAGAGAGCTTTTTAGGAGAGAGGTCATCCTCTTTTATAGTCAAAGGGGATGGCCTTACAACTTAGAGAAAGAGAGAGAATATATACGTGTGCTACCTAGTCTTGTTGCCCATGCTGTCGGATACAAGACGGTCGTCGACGCCACAATACTGTTTATGTCCAGATGCATGTGGCAAGCTCTACCGTGTTCGCCTGGTATGGCAAACGTCGGCGCCTACAATACTGTTTGTGTTTTGACATGCCTGGAAGGTTGCATAGTGCCCATCTAGCATGGCCTGGTGGCATCATCCTGCAGGTGCGCAGGGTATGGCAAGGTACAATCCTCGGTATTGTGGTTTGACTTGAGCGCCTTACCTTATCTGCTCCACCTGATCCCTGAGCCCTCATCGAGCGGGCGTCCTCGGCCGGTCGTTCCCAGTTAGCCCCGACCGTGTCGGACGGGGAAGAGCCGCGAGCAGAGGTCCGGCGTATCCCTGGTCAAAAAAAGAGGTTGGAGTCGGACTGTGTCCCCACCTTGGCTAGGCCTTCCGATCGGGGACCAAATCGTTCTCTCGGCCTGTCATTATGTATCTAGGCCGGCCTGGGAGGCGCGCGTTGTCGCTACGCCGTCTGCTGGGCTGAGTTTTTACAGGAAAGTGGGTCCATTGGGGGCCCTGGGTTTATGAACCCAACACGGGCTGCACCACGCAGCGGCACACGGGCAGGCGCAACAGCATGCGCAGGCGTCCGGATGCGTGGATCCGTCCGAATGTGCGGGAGCTAGCATGGTCCAATACTTATTGCACTTTATTCAAACTCCCATGGGAAATGGAATCCATTTGTATAGAGAAAAGACTATTTGAGGCTAGTCTTAATGAAAGTTTCATCATAGTTTCATTTGCATTTAATAAACCGCTACATAAGCATTTTCTATGACGTGGCAAACTGGCAACGTTTTTATTTTAGAGAGAAGAAGTGAATGAAACTCTTTTGGCATAATTACTAACTCTCTGTGATTCATGAAATTAAATATGAAATCATAGAATGAAACTTTCCAATGATAAATTGGCATACCAATAATCCAAATATAATATTGAAAATATGTCTTTAAGCACCAAAAAATATTTAGCTCTAGAAAAATCTAAAAAAATCCTTGTTTTAACATGTTTTAGAAACTTCACACAGCAAAAATATGAACAGTTGACATGAATGCAACATGCATTAATGCTATACAGGCGTATGGTTGTGTCTTACATTTTTTGTTGTGCAAAGTTTTCATAACATGTTTATAGATAAAAAAATGTTTTGGGAATTTTTTTTGAATATTTCTCTCATTCTTCACTAGTTATAAAAAAAATATTTGGATTATTTGTATCCTAATCTATCTCTATGATTTGTTGGAAAGTCTTAGAAGTTTAGAGATATTTTCTATGGTTTAATAATGTTATCAAGTATTTACTAGATTTTTCAAGTAAAAAAATAAAATCACCTTTAGAACTACTCTAAAACAAGACACGGAGATAATTTGAATGGGTGATTTTGAGTCATATGTCTAGTTTTAGGGTGTGTTTGGGAGGACTCCTCTTCATAGGCTTCTTCGGAGGAGCTAGAACCGTTTTGGAGAAGCCACAACTTGTGGCTCGTGACTTCTCTGAAACGGCTCCGGCTCCTCTTTTTCCACTGAAAAAGGTGCTAAAAATGGCTCCACCATCTAAACTGTTTTGCGGGGCTCCTCCAGAGAAGCCGGAGCGGAGGCAGGAAGAAACCTTGGCAAACAGTCCCTTAGACTAGCTAGTAAACAGGGGAATGGTTTTTTTCTTTGTATAGACGGGGCCGGACTGGGGGCGCCTATGCGTCGACCCTGGTGGCAGGTACCAGCACCCCCAACACCACCACACACACGCACACCAAAATAATTCACAGCATGTATACGAACGTAATTTCACTGTCTCATGTTTCTCCTTACAAGTTTTGAGCAGACTATGGCCCACACATGTATATAGATCTAGAGGAGAGCACCAAAATGTAGGAGACAACCTATGGCCCACTACTTGCATGTATAATCTAAAATTTATAAAAGTCGTAACTACTAAAATATGCATCCAAATTAAATTTCGATTGCGCCACCGTGTTTCTTATAATAAATCATTCAAATGAAAATCCCACTTGGGTATATTTAGATAAAAAATATTTACATATATAATACGGAATATCATAAATACATTATAGAACACCACATTAACACTACACGCACATCACAAAGTATAACATAAAACATCATATAAATACTAAGTGAACATCCCATATGTCATGAAATATAAAAAAATAAAAAATAAAATTAGTGAAGTAATTAATTATAGCCAAATAAAAAGAAGAAAAGATGTTATTTAACATCACAAAATATATCCTAGAACATCAATGTATGCTTACTGAATATCACAAAATACATTGTAAAACATCACATTAACACTACACGGACATCACAAAATATATCATAGAACATCATATGTACACTACGTGTGCATCACAAAATATCATAAAATGTAAAAAAAAATAATAAAATTAGTGATGTAATTAATTAGAGTCAAATAAAAAGAAGAAAATACTACCGAACATCATAAAATATATCCTAGAACATCAATGCATACGTACTGAACATCACAAATACATCATAGAACATTACATTTTCTACTCATGGATATAAAAAACATCATAGAGCATTACATGTATATTACGTGAACATTACGTGTATTTGTAAATAAAAAAAGTCAAACATAAAATTATAAATAGAAGAAAAGAAAGGAAAATAAAAAAAGAATAAAATAGAAAAATAGAAACTAAAATAAACAAAAATATTAATTCTACCAAAAAAGAATTTTAAAATTTATAAATGTTAAAAAATAAAAAAGATAAGAAAACAAAAAGAAAGAAAAATAAAAACTAAATAGAAGCGAGGAAAGGGAAAAAAGAAAATAAAAATTAATAGAGTAAAATAAAAAAAAAATAAAAAAAAGAATGACAAAAGTCCACAAAAAGAAAAAAGAAAAAGACTATAAATAAATGAAAGGAAAGAAAAAATAAAAGGAAAACATACAACAAAAAATAAATGAAAATAGAATAGAAGAAATAATAAAAAAGAAACTAAAAATAAATAAAGTAAATAATTACGTAGAGTAAAAGGTAAAATAAAGAAAGAGAAGATAAAAGAAAATAAAATATAATAAAAGATCAATGAAAATGAAAACAGGAGAGAAAAAAGAAAAGAAATAGAAAGCAAACAAAACAAAAGAAAAAAAACAAAGAAAGGATTCGTACGTACCTGTTGACGTGGCCACGTGGGATGGGAGCCGTGACTCCGCGAGCGTCGTTCTGGAGAATAGATTGGCCGAGCTTGGGAAACTTCACGTCCAGGAATAGATGGGCCGCGCGCTGGTGACGAAATGGGCCAAATTGAGCACTAGAAAAATAAAAAACAGAAAAAGGGGAGGGGATCGGCGGACGAATTCCATCCGACTGGTCGGCAGCGATGGATTCCGGGCCGGACTGCCCATAAGAGCCGAGCTTTGCCTGTGCGCCATCTCGTCCCGTGCCCTCGCCAGCCTCGCCTCGCCTCCGTGCTTCCGTCCCACACGCGGCTCCAGACTTCCGAATAAAAAGGGGCAGCCATGGCCATGGCGGCGCTGCGGGAGGCCTCCCGCTGCCTGGCGTCCAGGGGGAGCCCTGCGGCCGCGCGACCCATGCTCCTCGCGCAGTCGCGCGGCATCACTTACAAGCTCTTCGTCGGAGGTTGGTTTTTTTCTTTGCCTCAATTGCCCATTTCCTCCCCTAGTCCTCAGTCCTCACGCGCGCGTCCCTTCTACTTCTTGACCAGTCGAGTGCTCTGCTCCATATTTTGCACATCTGTTGAGCGCCTGATTCGTCGCCAGGGCATGCGTGCCTAATGTTCGACGGAATGCCCTGCCGGTACAGGCCGGGCGGCTTAATGCCCCATTGAGACCATTTATAGTTACACTGATTTTTAGTTTCTAACTGAACGCGGTCTGCAAAAACTAATTTAGTCGAAACACCAAAATCAAAATCATAGGAAAGTAGCGCCAAATTGTGAAATTTACTCCTACAATTTCCTACCACAAAATATGCAAAATCAGAAACTTGCAGTTTGAATCTTGAAATGCGTGGCAGCACATTGATTGGGTCTCTGCTGCTCGTGAGAGATTAGTGCGTCTCAAAGTCGAGCATGGCTAATAATAAAACTCATTGTTGGCTATATGTACATTTACAACTCTATAAAATTTTCATCATATAATAGTGTGCCAACTGAGCAAAATAGTGATGTGACATTGAATTTAAGAAAGAGAGAGATAGAAATGGTTTCTTATATAATAAGAAAGTTCCTAATAAGAAATTATGTCCGCACAAGAACCAAGATAGAATGAGATGTGATAGGTAGATGATAGGAGAGAGAAGACATATGATTTGACAAAAATTTATTTTGAGAAAACCATCCATTATGATTTTTTTTTTGTGTAGTGCCTACATGACTTAGTATGGAAACTGTCCAATAGTTTCTAGTTGTGTCTCTCACAAAGTTTCTTAGAGATTGTGCATCAGCTGGCTATAACTGCATCCTACTTCTCTACTTTCTCCTCTCTCTCTCTCTTCCACCTAGCATAGATCCCACTTAGAGCAAGTATAATAATGGTCTTATAGCCAATCTAATGCTGATATAGAGGAGAAGAGAGGAGAACTTGGCTCTCATGCTAGCAACAAGCTAGACACGGCGTCTATGTAGTAGTGGCCAAGTAACAAGTATATGAGGAGAAACAGGAAAGAGAATGTGAGACATGGTACCACATAGTTTCTAAAAAATTGTAGATAAATAGGAGACAACTGTTGTATAACTTCACTTATAGCCAAGCACTTAGGTCTATTATTGAACTTGCTCTTATAGCTCTTTATTATACTCTCTCTAAGAAGGTGTCAGATGTTGCTTACTCTCCTGCCCTAAAAAGAACATGCATTTCGCTTTTCGAGGAGTCAAAAATTTTAAGCTTGACTAGATTTATAGAAAATAATATCAAATTTGTATCTCCAAATATATTTATTATGAAAAATATATTCTACTATTACTTGCACATCGTAATTCGTAAGTATTGGTAATTCTTTTTGTGTATATTTAGTTAGACTTATTTTTTTAACTCCTTGAAAAGTGAAATGTACATTGTTTTTGGGACAAAGGGAGTAGACCTTTTTGCCATTAGCGTCTAGTCCATTTGTTTTCAAGGAATTAAAATGTTCCTTGGAAGTTGATGTGGTGCCAAACTGCCAACATCTTTGATCAGAAGGATCTCTTGTGTAACAACATAGGTTTTGGTGTGGTTTTGTGTGGTTTTTTTTTTGTTTTGTTTTGGTATAAGGGATCTTTCTCCGTGTTTTTGTTCTCTTTTTAATATAATGATACACAACTCTCTTGCGTGTTTGAGAAAAAAAAAGTATCTCCAAAAAATGTGGGCACCCTCCTAGAAGGACTGCCTGTTATCTAGGACTGGGACACTTAGTTTCAGTGCTTTATTTGCCTTTATGCCTTATAGAAAGAAAGAAATTACAAAGAGCACATTTTTAAATTGTCGATGTAATAGGAGTATATTACTGAGCATCAAAATTCTATTGGATTCCAACTAACTGTTTAGGTTTATACTGCTTCTTTTTTTATTAAGAAAATAAAACTGCAAAATCCCTAGATATTCCGGCAAGGGTTCGTATATTGTTAATCTACGCTGCCTTACTCTTAACTATGCCAAATTTCACATATTCACATATTCACACCGATACCAGTTGCTAGTCATGTTCTTGCAAGTACACATTGTTAATGTTATTCAAAATATGATATTGATGTTGCATGAGCTCTACCTGAGCTAAGTGGGAGCTAAAGCACTAACACCGTACACAACTGAGAATCACGGGGGACCATTGGGCAACTGTCCACAGCTGTTTATAACCTCGTCCGAGTCATCTGCCCTTTTGCAGGTTTATCACAATTTGCAACGGAGGAAAGCCTATCAGAAGCATTCTCACGTTACGGACAAGTAATAGAAGGTCTATCCTCGACACTTGCCACTTTGCCAGAGCGCATTTCTGTTGATAACCTATAGTTATTCTGCCTGCTGTTCTTATGTGTTACCAAAGCTGGGCTTCTTGCTTGAATGCAGCTACCGTCGTCAGGGATAAGGTGACCGACATACCAAAAGGATTCGGCTTCGTGAAATTTGCTTCCCCGGAGGAAGCCAATAACGCGAGGGAAGAGATGACCGGCAAGGCAAGATTTCCTCCTAAAATATTACTGTTTGTTGCTTTTTTTTCTTGGTGCCATCTGGAAAAGAGCTGAGCAATGCGAGCTCCTGACAGGCATTGAACGGTCGGGTCATATACGTGGACATCGCAAAGGCCAAACCGGACCGTGCTACAGATGCTCTCCCAATAGCGAGAGGTCCTCCTAAGCCAATTAGCAACGACTGACAGGAAGGCCTGGTGTGTAGTTCCATACTTCCCTCCCGCCCTCAGCTGGCATACTAGTTCAATTGTCAGATATGGGGGCTCTTAGATGAAACGTGATGTGCAATATTCTGCGGATTTCGAGGTTATGTTTGAACATAAATAGAGTTCACTTAAACATCCTGAGTACTCGTAACACGCTTGTCCGGATCAGATGTGTTTTCTGCTGTGTTTTCTTGTCATGACAGGTGCTGCTTTAAATCCGTAATGCTAGCCACACGAAACATCTACTAGACTAGATGTTATAGGTTGCGGATGGTAGTTGCATGTCGTCTTGAATCTGTTCTATTCTGGAACCAATGCTTTGCAGTTCATCTGTACTCTAAACTTCCTATGGTCCCTGGAAATTCCTTTTTTCTTTTTGGCGGATCTGGTCCCTGGAAGTTGGGAATGTGGATAGTGAATGGCAATGCTCTCGACAGGGGGATATTTTCTTCTGTATTGTTGTCACGTTGTTTGTTTGTTATATGATAAACGTCATGTTTTGCGGTACTACTTCAACAGTACTGGTTAGCAAAGGCATAATGTTTCTAATGTTTTTCTCTTACACCAAATCAGCATATGCCGAATTTCCGAAAAATGAATAGGGGCAAAATATATAGGAAAACGATGCACATCAGTGCAGGACATGGTGATGTACATTTCCTCCTAACTGTACCCGGCAAGAAAAAGCGTTACAGAAAAGATCGCTGCTCGATGTTGTTGTACGCTGATCGCTGCTCGATGTTGTTGTACGCTAATACTCCTGACTAAATGGCGTCTTTTGTGCCCTCGAAGGTTTATCAAGTCAAGTTCTCAGTCTCAGTACATGCGCTCGATCGTCCGGCCAGCAGTCGCCCGCCGGTCACCGGAGCGCTACAGCGGCGAGGCAGGTGAGCACGACGACAGCGCTGGCAGCGGAGCAGCAGAGGTCCACGAGCGCCTCGCGGCGCGCCTTGCTCTCCTTCCTCCCCTTCTTGCGCTTGACGAACTCGAGGTACCGCCTCTTGGCTTCCTCGGGCTCGCTCTTCCCTCCCTTCCGGGGGGCCTCCATCGCCGCGGCGAGGAGCCGCAGCGTGCCCTCGCCGCTGACCGCCGCGCCGTCGGCGTCCTCCACGGCCAGGGTGACCTCGCTGATGGCGTGCCAGCCAGCATCGCCCTCGGAGCAGGCGACGGTGGCCTCGAACTTGCACCCTCCCAGCACCACGGCGAACCGCGCCAGCGTCTCGCCCGTGTACCAGTGGCGGTCCACCGCCACGGGGCGCCGGCTGGAGACGTTCACCGCGCGGCCGCGGGCCGGGTCCACGACCACCCAGCTCAGCTCCAGCTCCGCCGGCGAGGGCGCCGCAGCAGCGGCGGCCTCTGTCGCCGGCGCCGGCTTTTTTCGCTCGAGGGCCTCCACGCGGAACGGCGACGCGATGAACCACGACGACGACGCGGGCGTCTCCACCACGCGGGAGAGCAGGGGAGCGCCCCTGTAGTAGACGTCCACCGCGGAGACCAGCAGCTCCCCGGCGGGAACGGGGAGGGGGAGGAGGCCGTCTCCTCCGCCGAGGCCGCACCCGGTGTCCGCGTCCGCGGACGGGAACGGGTGCGCGTCGGCGAAGAGCCGCTGCGGCGGGAGCGCGGCGAGCAGCTGGCGGCGCTGGGGCTGGGCCGCCAGCAGCGCCAGCGACGGCCACTCGGCGAGGCAGAGCGCGCGCCACGTCTCCGGGTCCGTGGCCAGCGCCCGGAGCGCGGCCGTGGCGCAGCAGGCCGCGGCCAGCGACCGCCCGTCCAGGCGCCGCAGCGCGCAGCCCAGCACGTCGGCGTGGAGGTCCTCGATCGTCGTGGTCACCATCTCCCACTAGTGAGGCTGTCTCAGTGTCTCTCTTCTACTTGGATGGAGGAGGAGTTAACTCTGGCTGATGTTATGATGAGACGACGCTTTAGTTTAGCCGCACGGGGTTTATATATAATAATAAGCAGGGCCAGTGCACTGTAGTTAGACTCACTCCCGGTCAAAGCGAGGCTCTGCTCTGTCCATCGTGTTGCCTCATTTACTGCTCCCTGGCGCGCCTTTGTTTCCGCAAGGAGTCTTCCGCGAAAACGACGGGGTCTTCCGTTTCTCTGCGCGCAATTCACCCCGTGTCAGCGGGCGGTGGCTCAGTGCGTGCCGTGGCGTCGACGGGAACCGGTCCGCGGGACGGCCCGGCCGCCTTGCTGTCCTTTGGCGTGGCGGCACCACGGCTGCGCGGCCGTGCGGTCCGCGGAGCCGGAGGGACGCGTGGTGGTGCCGGGGGATCACGCGCGGCATTCCTCCTGCCGCCTCCGGCATATGGATATGGGGGCCGCGCGCGCGTTCCTCCTGCCGTTCCGGCCGACCGATCCTCTCACTATTGGGAGACGGGGCTGTGGGGCGCCATTAACCAGGAGCGACCCATTGTCTCCCACTGTGTCGATTGCTGAGAGCCCAAGCTAAGTTTTCAAGATGGACCATACTTGTTTTGAGAGGGGACAACCCTTGTACAAATATGTGGGTTTTCTGGATCAACTCCGCATAGTATGCATATAGGGTCATTTGGCCAATTTCTCTTTATCAAATTGTTCGCCATAAGGATCTTCTTATGCAGCAACGTCCACGCAAAAAATCTGCATTTCGGCTCAGCCCCACCCTTCCATATCGGCATGATCCTTCAAATTGAATGCGGTATGCACTCTTGGATGTATACTTTCCATCTGCCGTCCAGCGTCATATTATGATGTCCTCCCTACTAACGTCAAGCTGGACTTGCTGTACCCACAATCGGACGTATTACTGAGTTTCGACGGTTGACAGGATTGGCGCGTGCATTTCCCCCCAGTTTTTCCCACGCGCGCCTGTGCCAGGTCCCTGGCGGAAGGGGAGGAGCCCACTGGTGTAGTGGTGTGGTGTGGTGCCGGTGTACGCCCCGTTGGATTCCCCCGTCGTCGTCAATGTTCCCATAGTCGGACATATTACTGAATTTCGACGGTTGACAGGATTGGCGCGTGCATTTCCCCACGGTTTTTCCCACGCACGCCTGTCCCAGGTCCCCGGCGGAAGGGGAGGTGCCCACTGGTGTAGTGGTGTGGTGTGGTGCCGGTGTACGCCGCTGTTGGATTCCTCCGTCGTCTCCAATGTTCCCACAGTCGCAATGAATACTCCTACAAGGGTCGCGGTCCTTTTCACGTGTCTCGGGCAAATCCCATCCGTGGCGCGCCTGCCGCCTACCTCGTACTACGTTACGACACCGCACCACACCACACACCACCAGGCTAGTTTGTAGGAGCCGTGAGGCTGAAAAAAGGGTGCGGTCCGTGGAGACTGGAGACGGCAGAGTAGTATATAGGTGTCCCTTAGGGGCTACCACGGCCGTTTAGGAGGTCCAATCTATTGTGTATATGTATACTGTATAGCAGGCTAATTTTAGCCTGCACGCTATCACGGATGTGTGGTCACTGGTCAAAAGCCGAATTGATATCGCCACAAGCCCCCAGTCGTGTCAACGTGCGTGGTCCTCCCGGTCACGTCACGAAGCCTGTGCTGCCTGGGACTGGGAGTGGGGACCTGCGGGTACCACTGTACGGCTCACGTACGATCCAATCTCGATGGAATTTGTGCGTTCCCACTTGGTTTCTGCAAGATCTGCCGTCCGAACTAGAAGCTGTTAAAAATTGTGAACTCAAGTGCTGAGCTGAGTGCCGCCCGACAGTTCAAATCCAAAACCGTCCAGTACGTAGCTTAAACTTCATTTCAGTAATCTGGAGTGGAGTAATACAAACGTCTAAGTATTTTTGTATTTTTGCTCTTCGCCGTTCCCATTCAGTTGTTTTTTCCCCTGCTATCAACTGAATTTTTCCCATACACTTACACTGTCCTCTACCTATATTTATATTAAATTATTACTATATTTACAATGACTTATTTAGTGTAATTTAATGGACATGGTGGTGTAATTTTAGAATAACACAAATATATGCCAAAATTTTCAGAAAAATTTACAAATTATTTCTATGGATTTCAGATATCAGAGAAATATATATCAAATTGTTCACAAATTTCAGAAAAAATACAAATATATATGTGGGCTGGGCGTACACGGTACATACTATGTGTATTCCGCTGGAGCTATACACGAGCGTAGACGCGGACGTACACGGACCAACCATGGACGTACGTGCGTGTATTCTAGAGGACCGGGACCTAGAACGCTGGAGCACGAGCATGTGGTGGGGACCGGCAGCCCGTCTCGCGCGACCAACTGACGGAGCACCGCGACCGTGCGATTCCTGATCTGGTGATCACAAAAGCGCATGTCGCGGGGGGCTAAATCAACGGACTGACTTATAGCAATTCTGAAAAAAATTATCTCTTTCACTTTTACTGTCCACACGATTCTATTTCAAATCAACATCCATCACAGCTCATTTCCCTCCCATATATCACTCTTACTGGTTTCTATTTCAAATCAATATCCCCATTACACCCTCTCATTCTCCTCTCATTTCACTCTTAGGCCCTGTTTAGAGAGGGGCTTCTCCTTGGTTTCAGCTCCTCAACTATAGCAATGCAGCGGAACCATGAGAAAGCCCAAATACGCATATCCTTCGGCTCCACCCTGAATTCATTTCGGAGGAGCTAGAGTTGTTTTTCTTCCTGCTACAACATGTTGCAGTACCGAACAATGCTACACAATATTTTGGGGGCCAGAACTAGAGCATCTTGAAGCTTCTCCAAACAGGACCTTACTTCTACTACAACTCAACATGAGACCAAGTTTTCAATCCAAATTCAACACAAAAACCTCAAATAGTGAGTATCTAGCCACGATACAGAGTCCTGACTCCAAGAGCTATTAGAAACCGATGACTCTATGCATGGTGTAGAGATAGTGAGGGCTCGAGTTTTTTGATGACATAATAGTTATATAAATCTTCGAGCCCAAATTATTTAGATGATCGCATAATAAATTAAACTATACATTCGGTCATGATGAATAAATGTACGGGAGACACGTTTTTAGGAACTTCTTATTATCCTCTTATTTTTTAGCTTTAATTAAAGCCAAGGTGGTTCGCTCAACATGTTCGCTTCTAGCCTTCTTACTAAAAAGGGTGTCTTTTGCTGCAACAGCTATCGTAAGTGCTACACCTATGCAGCACTATTGCGTACAGTTGTAGTGCAGACCTGCCGCCGTTGCCGCTGAACGGAACGTGCCCTTGTTAGGACTTAGGAAGGAGTGTCGTCTGTTAGGTTCTCTTTGGCACACATCTCAAAAGAGTTTTCCTTCTCTAACGTTTGATTACTGTAGCATTACTGTTTGATTACTGTAATATTGATGAAGTCGTTTTCGTTTCCAACAAAATGAACTGGGTAGATGATGAAGCCAGAGAAGCTATACTAGTCTGACCATGTTAAAGCTGAAGCCGGTGCAAGTCCTCCTAAAGAGGTATTCCCTCTCTCACATAAAAAGTGTTATTCTTATTTTTAAGCTAAATATTTTTCAACTTTTATCAAATATATATAAAAATGATAATATTTATAATTCATAATTAATATCATTAGATAGGTTATTGAAAATATTTTTATAATAAATTTACTTGGAGATTAAAATGATGCTAATATTTTTTTTACATCTAGTTAAATTTTGTTTGGCCGGCACAAATCCTGTAGGGATGGATATTTTTTATGCTAGGCTTCATCTGTTCCTGTACAGAGGGCATGGCAGGAACAGTCACTGTCAGGATTGCCTGAGAAATTGAAGATTATTCAAACTCCCTATTGGTTCCAGTTCTAGATCTGCCTCACAGTTAAAAAAAAATACAAAACCTTCAGATTAGTTGATAAGTTGCATAAAAAAAATACTAGGCCTTGTTCTCTTTGTAGATTAGTTGATGAAAGTTGCATAAAATTTGGCAAATATTGTCCAATCGTCATTAGACCAACTATGGATTCATCTCGTGATTTCCAATGGGAACATCCTTTTATCTAGGTAATTGCGATACTGTTTGATTTATGGAGAGGTGAATTTGGTGTGCATCTAAACAAGGCCCTAGTATGGCTCTGGGATGGGAACATCTTTTATCTAGGTTCCCGAATCTGTTGCTTTCAGGATCTGGCCGGCCATCAAACTAATCTCGCGTCAGAACAAATTAGAACGAATTTGTAGCGAAGGTCTGAAGGATACATGATAACCATGTACAGTACAGGAAGCAACACGTATGTGGCGTTCTCTTGTTCTTACACGTCTTGGTGTATGTCGTACGAACAGCATTTGTTACTGCACAATGCACATTATTGCTCGTCAGATTGTCTCAACGACCCCAACCTAAAATATAAAACTTATTGGTCCTGTGAGTAAAGCTAGAGACAAATGATTTAATATCTAATTTTATTCTTCTCCAACAACAAGATTCAAAGACAACCATTTCTGTAAATAGATCTACAGGAGAGATACTCATATTCAAGTTATGTCTCTCCTGACACCCACAATGGATCTTCCATATATTTACTCTGTTGGAGACTATAGGTATTATGTTAGAGATCCATTTTAGATTTAGCTTCCGTAATGGACCCGTTCACTTCACTGAAAAAATAAGTCGAAATATTGTTCCAACTAATTTATTGTGAGAGAAAAATATTGTTTGGACTAAAAAAAATAAGCTGAAAAAAAACGAATTATTGGAGAAGAGAACAGCACCCATGAGTCTCCGGACAGCCTCGTACGGTACCTGCATGCTAGTGATTTTGATGCTGGTACAGGACCTTTGTAATATCTGTTGTGCATTTGAGCCGAAGAAACAGTAGATTATACGGTAGATGCCTGCACTTGAGCTGAA